CTGACTTGAAAATGCGGTTCATTATATAAATCAGAATCCTTAATCATCATGGTGATCATCGGCATCATCAGCATCATAGTGTGTAGACAAAAGAAAACCCAGATTTACAAGTAGACCCACTGGCCACATGGCTACACTGGAATGCTCCTTTGGGTCTAGATACCATTGCCAATAGGAGCACCAGAGAATACGTTCAGAGAAAAGCAGCACAAATTAACTCTGTCAGTTATCTGACTCATTTTCCAAAATTTATATTGAAAACAAAAATATTTTCCAGTGGTCTGAAATGATGGAAAAATGCTGTCAACTTGAGATTTTTGCTGGAACTATGGCAATCGTATCCCATTTGGTACCTCTGCCTCTTGAATCATTTTTGTCATGCTTGCATAAGGATGTAGGAAATGTTTTTATCATAGAATGTGAACTACGGACACAAGAGATGACTGAAGAGGATTAAAGATCAGAATCACAGTTTTCATCTAACACAAAGAAGGGGGTAAATATCATGCTTGGTGGTTACATAATCGAGCAAATATACTGGAATTAAAATAAAACCCAACTTTGACAGCAAGGAAATGTATCTATGTACTAGCAGTGCATTTAGAGATATAATTTGTTCACTTCCAAATATGTGCTGAAAATAAAGAGGGAGATTGTCCAGGGGAGATAACCAGTGATAATTGGACCACACCTCTTTTAACCCGTGGCTGTCCCTGATTAGTAACACATCAAGATGCGCAATAGAAAGCACTACAATGGTAGAATTTGATGATTTGCATTGTCAGTTTCTAGAGGTTTTATTTTTGGTTAGTGTTACAATTTCTTTACTTCATTGAATCCTTCACAAAATACCAAATATATGATATCTCTAGTAGAAAATTCTGGAGGAAGTTTTTTTTAGCAACATATAGAGAAAAACATCCTCCCTTCATAGATTGCTAGAGCCCTTTGATGTGTTAAGTTTATATACATGTATATTTTATTTTAATTCTTTTGTCAGTAACAGGGTTACTGAACTCAGGGTTTCAGCTCTATCAGTTAGCATTTTTACTCAAGGTTAGTGCTCTACCACTTTTAGCCACAAGGCCACTTCCATTTTTCTGGTGGTTAATTGGAGATGAGTTTTATGGGCTTTCCTGCCTGAACTGGCTTCTAACCATGATCCCCAAATCACAACCTCCTGAGTAGTTAGCCACTGGCGCGGGGCATTTTAAAAATTTTAATTGGGGGCCAGGAATTTGGCTCAGTGGTCGAGTGCTTGCCTTGCATGTATGAGGCCCTGGGTTCGATTCCTCAGCAGCACATAAGCAAAAAGAAAAAAGCCAGAAGTGGCGCTGTGGCTCAAGTGGTAGAGTGCTAGCCTTGAGCTGAAGAGCTGAGGGACAGTGCCCAGGCCCAGAGTTCAGCCCCCACAACCGACAATAAATAAATAAATAAATAAATAAATAAATAAATAAATAAATAAGTAAAATTTGTATTATCATTATTATCAAGGTGAGGTCCAAAGACATAAGTCGCTTAAAAAGTACATTTCTTTCTGGACAATGTCACCACTTCCCTCGCTCTTTTCTGGTTTTTTCCTTCCATCCCCACCCGCAAGTTGTATTTTCAGCATAATATTATAATATCTAGTGGAGTTTATATCTTTATAATGTCAAAATAGGTAAGTTTTCTACACATGGAGCCATAAAAACGGTCAGTTAACTGGTTTGACTATGTAAAAAAATTAATGTTTTTATGTTATATAAAAGAATGAGACAGGCACTGGTGGCTCACACATGTAATCCTAGTTACTCAGGAGGCTGAGATCTGAGGATTGAGATTCAAAGCCAGCCCGGGCAGGAAAATCCATGAGGTTCTTATCCCCAATAAACCACCAAAACACTAGAAGTGGCACTGAGGCTCAAGTGCTAGAGTGTTAGCCTTGAGCTGAAGAGCTGAGGGACAGTGCCCAGGTCCAGAATTCAGGCCCCATGACCAAAAACAACAAAAAGAATGATATACAAATTTGTTTAAAACATACTACCAAATAGGGAAATAAATGATTTTATAGTAGAAAAATCTAATTGATTTTGGTGTTTTGAGATTTTGACAATGCCTTTGATTATTTCCCTTGGGTATTATTGTGCCACATCTTTATAGCCTAGCTAAATAAATGGTATCAAGTATAGCTAACTTGGGAACATAAGAGTGAAATGAATGTTATTCACACTTTCAGCCTCAAAAGTGTGGGTGATTTTTACAGCAGCACAAAGCTCCTTCTCAGAAGGGGGCTGTGTATGATTTAATAATGTGTTGCTCTCATGAAATTTTAAACAATTTTTAGAAAAGGGGCTTTACACTGCTGGTTTGCAATAAGCTCTAAAAACCACATATTGGCTCTGGATTTACTATTCTGTCAACTGTCTATGTATAAATTTATACAGTTTGTATGAAAAAAGAATGCCAGAATATTTAAGATAAAACCATACCCCTGAAAAGTGAATGTTTTATGAGTAGAGATAAGCTTAGTAGTCAAATTATAAACAAAGTAGACAAGTAAAATTGATAGAGAAAACTCCAGAAGGAAGGTTACTACTCCATAGAATGAAATCAATGCCTGTGGAAAAGGAGGCCTTTAGTTGGATCAAAAAGAAGGAAATGAGCTGGGCGCTGGTGGTTCATGCCTGTAATCCTAGCTACTCAGGAGGCTGAGATTTGAGGATCGCGGTTCAAAGCCAGCCCGGGCAGGAGAGATTGTGAGACTCCTATCTCCAATAAACCACCAGAAAACCGGAAGTGGCGCTATAGCTCAAGTGGTAGAGCGCTCGCCTTGAGCTGAAGAGCTGAGGGACAACGCCCAGGCCCAGAGTTCAAGCCCCACAACCGACAAAAAAAAAAAAGAAGGAAATGGTTTGAGCAATGACAATTGGGAACACAGGCAGGGAAGAGGGGGGAGTGTGCTATAGGAAGACCTTGAAATATTCAGGTCTGTGGAATCATTTGGATTATGTAAGTAAGGCAAGACTAAAACAGGGTAAGTTGGCTGCCTTTGGTTGTAGGAGGGTCTTGAATGTCCAGGCAATGAGGATATAAGTAATTGAGTAGCAACTGTGAGTCACTGAAGAGTTATAGAGGGAGAACTAGTCACTGTCACAATTTAGTAAGATTAAAACAGATGATGATCATTTTGTCACTTCTCTAAACTCCCCGCCCAGTTCTATATTCAGTGTAAACTTGTTTTATGAAAGAGCCTGATAGAAAGTGAGATTAAAATTGGTGTCAACCTCATTTTTACTCAACCAGTTAAATTCTACTTGCTCTCACTCTCAGTTGATCAATAAAAATGTGTTGACCCATTCTTGAAAGCCAAGTTTCATTAAATTATAAGGATAGATTGTATAATTCTGACAATGACAGCATGACCAGAGTTGATTACACAACACACACACACACACACACACACACACACACACACACACACACACACACACACACACGAGACATCTCTGTCTCCTGATACAGTACCATTCAATTGATGTTTACTTGAGAAAATAAATTGGTGGTAGTTAAAATTAACATGATGATTGCACAATGCATAGATATATAAAATAAGCACAAGGCACTGTGATACAGATACTTATTTGTTAATTAGCAATTGAGATCTTTATTAGGGTTGCATAAAAATCAATAACTTGCAAGTTAAGTTTTGAAATAGATATCCATTCTGTTTCTCTTTGTTTGTTCTCTGCCCACACATACACAAATGCACAAATACATATCAGCACACACAGATATATTCTGCCACACACTTATTGTGTGTTATATTGTACATAAACAATATACCTTCCTTGAAAACTGTATTAAAATTTTAAAGAGACTTATATTTCTACTTCCACATGTTTTTGTCCAGTAACAATGAGGAGGAAAAACACCCTGCTGACAGAGAAATATTTTAATATAATGTTACTTGATATAAAATTAGAATTTCAAGGTCCCTTCAGTGGGATTATAACCAAAAGATTTCATGTGGAAATGAAAAATATATAAAAGATGAAGCAGAAACAAAATTAATTAACCACAAGAAATACCCAAGTAAGGAGTATTAAAATTGCATTTGAAGGAAACTCAAGAGATATCTGTTAAGATATATTACTGAAGTCAAATGTGAATTTGACTTATCAGCTTCATTTTACCCACTTATTTACAAAAATGAAAATATAAGAAAAACCAAAAGTACTTTAATATTCTAGCTTTCAAAAATGAAATCTCAGTAGCTCAGAATCTGTACATCACTACTTACTGTTTACCTTTTCAAAGAAAAATAATGAAAAACATTGTTTTTAAAACTCAGCAGAATAGTCAATGTTATTTTTAACAAAAATGATATATATTTTCTTTAAAATAAACTTAGAAGCAAAGTAATTAGTTTCAATACATATCAGCAAATATTCCTAAGAAATTAAAAGGCTGTATTTTTTTGTTCTATTCCCATTCTATATGGAGTTACTATGATCATATATGATTCAAGGAAAGAAAAACTTTTACTGCAATATAAAATAAATTTAATTTGGGAAATTAAACTCAGTATTAAAGGATAATAGGCTGCTTCTTGGAGCTTTCCCTTTTTAGTTATCCAGCCTTTTCAGTGGAAACTCATAGAATGAAGAGTGTAGCCATACAGTGTGGTGCATCTAGCAGAGATTATTTAAATGTATTAACCAATAAGTAGAATAGACAGTATTCTTTACTGTTCAAGAAATTCTTATTTGTTCCTGTGAGCTACTTTTCTCTGGGAAAATGTGGAATGGCTGAGTACACGTGATAAAATTCAGAAGCTCTGACTCATCCCCTTATGCTGAAAACTGGCACCAGAGTTATAAAGAAGCCTGTACACGTCTTGCCCTTCTATAAATTTGTAAAGCTATTAAGACTGAGATTAGAGAAAAGAGAAGTTTTCACTCTGCTGCATTTACAAAGGACAATAAATACGCTCAAGAGGAGAAAGGAACATGTCCTACCTTTTTAAAAATTCCATATACTCGGTATGCTTGATGAGTCCTGTCCTCATCATTATTGTTTGAAAACATTGTCGGTCAATGGCCCAGAGTTTCACATTTACAAGAGCTGGAGAAAAGGGGTGGGGAAAACAATCAGAGAAAAATTAATTAGAGAATTTCAACTGTGAATAACAACCTGCAAAAGAGATGAGTTATTCATGAGAGGTATAGAACTTATTAACCTCTTACCTACATTCAAATCTAATGTCATAATGCTGCTCTATTTCATTAAAAAGTCAGGTATGCTTTCAGGAAAAAAAAATGTAGCTCATAATTTTCGACACTTGTGTGTCGCCTAAGGTTTCTATTGCTCTTAGTTCCCTTAGGAGTTGATAATGCCTGAGGACACATCAAAAGTATTTACAAAATTCACAGAATATGTATTAAAGAAACAGCATGGAGGGATAAAAAGAGGCTCACAATTAACACCAGTCCCTGGTAACTACTTAGAATAATATTAATGAATCGTATGACCATATTTTAATTACAAACAGTAGAGATAAAAATTTAATTTGAGGTTTAGGGAGAAATCAATATAACAGAAATAATAATTACACAATAATTTCTACACAACAAATTGTAAATTGTTTAACAAATTGTTTAACAAATTGTAAACTGTGCTCAAAATAGTCACATGGAAATTTTATTATTCATGTGGATTGAATTTTAATTTCTAATCCTCCATGTCACTGTCTTTAAGAATGAATAATTAAATGCTGCAGCAGAAACCACATCACTATCAAGCACATGACTACAAAACAACTTTAATTAAAAAATGGCAGGTATTATATATACTCAAACATCATACTAAGATAAACTTAGGCTTTTAAAAATGAGCATATGATGAATGTTGGTGGTTGAATCTGCATGGTAGGCATACAAAATACTTACTATTTTCTCATATGTATTCAATTTTTATAGTACAAATATTAAATTATCACATTAACTTCAAAAAGCCAATTTATATACTATACCTAAGGAGTCTTAGAAAAATTTGTGGAGGGGAAGGGAAAAACAAATCGTTTAAATAGGGATACAGGTGGACCCATTGCAACAATGAGATGTACAAGTTGTTATGTCGAAAAATGAACTTTACAACTTTGGTGGGGGGGGGATTGGGTAGGGGGGGTTGGGGGGAGTATGGGAAGGGATGGGAAGGGGAAACAAAGGAGGAGACAACAATGCTTGATAAGAAATGTACTCATTTTCTTGCCCATGTAATTGTAACCCCTCTTTTCATAATAAAAAACAAAGAAAAAGTGTAGGGTCTTGAACAAAACTGTTTGCTGGTGCTAGAATACAATTCAATGAGCTAAACACAAAAGACAGAGGAATTTAGTTCTCTCTTCAGAGTTCTCAGACTAAGCCCAGGAATGAGTGGATTAAGACTGGGAATGAAAAAGGTGAGAATATGTTACCAGAGTAAATTGGGTCCCAGATATGCCCTGAAGGGACGGGACAGAGGCAACAGAAAAGGAACAGGGGAGCAAAAACATGAAGAGATGTCATACTCCTCCAGAAGTAAATCCTGCTCTAGATTTTCACCTTTTTGCTCCTTTCTTCCTTCAAGACTGTTTGATCTAAGAAGCTGGAGTGCAAATTCTTACTTGGCTAGCTCTTCAGTGCTAAAAAAAAAACTATGTTCCCTAAGTAGGAAAAAGAACAAAGTAGTAAGAAGGGATGCATGCATGGCTTTCTTCCAAACATCCGTTAAATATGACACTTCATCAAAACCAAAGGGAATGCAGGTATTCTCTTGCCATATTCTGGCTCTTCTGAATCCAGGCTTCTTTCCAACACACCTGTTTACTTGAGTCCAGCCATAAGACTGAATGGTATGAACATGAAAGAGTAGGAAAACCAGGAAAAGAATTGGAGTTGGAAATGAGATCATAAGAAATAGTGCTGTTTGCATCCGAAAGGAAGTAACTGGGTAGGAAATGGGCATTAACAAAAGCAAGCCTGTAATGAACTCAGCTGGACAAAGCCCACTGAAATGACTGAGATTTCTGTGGACCCTGATACCTAGCTTGATAGTGAGTTGATGCAGGCCTTGGAACATAGACTTGCAAAGCCAGAACTAATTTGATGAACAACAATAAGCTATTAGTGATCTTTAAAAGGCAAAAAGAATGCAAAGAATCAAAATTTTAAAGGACATACATTGGGTACATCAATATGTCTTTAAATGTTTCCAAACAAATCGGTGAGTATCTTCATATTTATTTTTATTCTTAACAGTGCCTAGGTATTTAATATTTCACAGCAAAAATGTACTCTCACCACAGGCCAAATTAGGAGGCACTAACCAGTCTTGTTATTTTCAAAAATGCTGGCAGTAAAGGTAGTGGCCACTATTAGGAATACACATGTATACACACATACAAACATACTCACACATACATTTTTTTCAACATCCCGTAAAGGAATGACTAGAAGTGGAATGTGTGAGTGAAGTCAAGCATGGATACAGTTTTTAGATTTTGCCACACAGAGAAACAGCACATTTACACTCCTCGCAGTAGTAGATGAAATTCCCATTATTGGCTCTGAGTGATATGAGCATTGTGATAGGTGAGAGCGGGCTCTATGAGGGGCATAATTGGACTAGGAGACGCTTAAGTCAAAGCAAAATTAGAAAATTGCTTTTGGTGCTGCCAAAAGCAATTGAAGAAAAACTGTAGGGCAGAAAAATAGTATGATGAAAGTTCAACATAAGGAATATTATTTGCTGTGTGTACAACAGAGTATTGTGTTAAAAACAAAGAGTGATAAGAAATAAACAAAGACAACAGCAATTCAAGAAAGAAAGAGCCTAAGAAATATGGCAACATAGGAATAAGAACAAAGGCTTAGCAATTGTGCAGAGTGTATGCATATGTGTGTGTTTGCACATGTAGTTAGCATATCCTACCAATATTGTTATTTATCTCTCATATATCTATATCATATATTGCCAAATAAATTCATATCTTTCCTTAGATCCAAATTCTTTTCTCACTTCCTACCACCAGAAATTAACATTTCATTAAATAAACAATAGATATATTTCTTGCTTAAAAAAATTTTTATATGTGCAATTCATCTGCAAATATGCACGCGCACACACACACACACACACACACACACACACACACAAATAAGAAAATCATGTACACCAAAGGGATCTCTGATGCCACCCCAGAAACTCCAAACTGAATTTATCAGATTATTAGCCATATGTGTATTGTCCACTTTATTTTGTATTTTGGTTTTTGTCTACCGAGCCACTGAAATATCCCTAAGTGAAATTCTATGTCAGTTAATATCACTTCATGTTAATGAATATGGGTTGATGAGATTACAGATTTATCCATGACCTTGAGCAAGATGCCAAAGACTTTTCTTTCATCCTCACCTAATATACATATTAGTCAAATCAGCATTTTACAGGCAGGCAAGCATGACTAATAATTACCTTGCCTTGTTATCAAAAATGTAAGTTACATTAGAATTGTGATTTATGACTAACTTCTTAAACAATCTGCTGCAGTAAAAGACTGTTGCTTTCATAGGTTAAAAAGACCATTTGGGAAAGGAAAATAAAATCCCTTCATTTACCTTTGATTTCAAGTAGTGGATTAATCTCTTCAGGGAGTAAGAATTTTAGGAAATAAATTCCTGTGATTTTTCATTAGGATTACTGTGGTTAAGCATTTAGGTCTGAAGGGCATAAAGTAAAGATAGTACTAAGAAGCGATTTTTCTTTTCATTCAAGTATTATATCTCAAATTCTTTACTGAAACAGCTATCATTTTCTCACATTAAGGCTACCTTCCACTCAGGAAAACATAACCTTGCATTACTATAAGATGTGTAGGAGCACACGGATACTGAGGATATCTTCCACGTAGGAAACTATTGTCTGCATTTAAGGAAAATCAAAATCATAGAGGAAAGAGCCACCAAATCATGCTAGACTAAAAGACCAAAAATGTGGATTTACCTAAAGTGCTCCTGTTAAGGCATTTAGCTACTATCCAATTCAAATTCTGGAAGAATGCTGAGAAAACATATGTGAGTATAAAGTACTGGCAGGCTCAAATACTTAGTCAGCTCATATTTATCTTACACCAATATGGAAGATGCAGATGCTAGATATATAGAAGAGAAAACAAACGTTCAGTTCCTGTCCTCAAGAAACTTACAGTCTGATCCAGTATATGGTCTATAAACTGAGCATGCCAAATCTGACCCATAAACTGTGGGGTTTTTATACAGTATACTACTGAACAAAAACATTTAAAGTAAATTTTATAACAGATGAAAATTATATGAAACAAATTTTAGTGTTCACAAATAAATTTCAATGTCCATAGGAGTCTTCTTGGAACACAGCCATGCCCATTCATTTACACATTGTCTCTGACTGAACTAAGTAATTTTGACAGAAACCATATGGACTGCAAAGCATATTTCCTAACTGAAAACACTTGCTGACTGATTCCTGGTCAAGCATAAGCAAGACATAAATCAAGGGGAAAATGGTAAGTTTCTGGGATTGTGCAAATGGAGAACTTTCTAAAGGGCAACAGCACATATTTTCCTTAGTGTAGGAGTAGAGAGGTGAGTTGAGCAAGGCTGATCAAAGAAGGCCCTGAAGAAAGAGGTCACATTAGTCATATTTTTACTTGATGTTATGGACCGGAGGTGTCTGTCTCCCCACAAGTCATAATGTGAAGCCCTAACTATCACACCAATAGTATTTGATGGTGAGATGAATCTAAATGTGTAGAGAAAGTACACAGGATAAGATGGCCAAGGCTTCTGCAAAGCCTTTCACTAGAGTTGAAGATTGAACATGAGAAGGTTCGTAATTTGCAATATCTAATATATGTCTGAGTCAAGCAGAAAAGGTCAGATAAGGTGATGTTAGGGAAATGAACCCTAAGATATGTATTCAAATGTTTTTTTTTTTCTTTCACGCATTTGTTTCTAACGCATTTATAAGATTATTTCTTTGTTGCTTTGTATGTCCCTCCCCCACAGTATAACCCCTGCTTTCACTGTATTTGATGTGGGTATAAT